GCAGCTCCCCAGGTGCAGAATGAACCAGAAAGCTACAGTTATCATTTCCCTTTTCAAATACCATCTAATTAGTTGCTAAGAAATGCTTTCTGAAGAGGTCCTCACCAGTTGTTTCCTGAACCAGAAACATCTGTGATAAGCTGCTTGCTATCAAACAAATCCCTCAATGGTCCCTGCAGAATTTCATTTACCACTCCCTCCTCCATGTCAATCAACAGCGCCTTTGAGAAAGGAAAGAATTAAAATTCAGTCCATAAGCAAACCACCCTTTTGAAATAATCACACAAATAAATATAAAATTATTTACAATATAAAAGGTACTCTTGTTTCTACTGCGCTTCAGAGAAACCTCTTTTTTTAGTTGTTAACTAGGAGACCAACTAGATTAACTTCGGAAGATTTCCTAGAAGTTGTTCAATAAGACAGTGTTTCAGATAGTGCAATTTTGGTAAAATTTTATAATATTTTGCCCCAGTACTTAGGAATAAAGAAATTAAAGCATTTTTATGTGTCAAGTTTTCTTGCTTCTTAATCACTTAAAGAGGTTCAAAGAAACCTACTCCTTAGAAAATTAAAATGAAAACTTGGTTGGTAATATCTGCAATCATTTTATTAAAATTATAATTTAAATAACTCAAGAAAACTGGCAGCAAACTGCATTACTCCACTGAATCATAAAAGTTACTATTAGAAATTTTACTATTCAAAGTAGTATTTAAAAACATATGCAATTATAAGGATCTTATAAAAATTCCAACACAGTTGGACATAAATATGCAATGTAAAAAGAATGACCTTTATAGATTGCCTTACTCGTGCTTTTAAAGAGCAGATTTTTCCTTTGTAAATATCAGGACCATCACCACCACTTCTGAAAAAAAAAAAAATCCAAGCTCAGAATCGTAATAGAAAATAAGGCAATATATACTAGAATAAAATCCCCTCCTTAATCTTTCATGTTCAGAGGCCTGTTACAATGTAAACAAACAGAAACACCCTGAACATGCTGCTAAGAAATACCTCATACTTCCCCAAAGTAAAGCAATTACAGGATGTGCTCTCAATCAGAGATATCCTCAGCAGTACTTCAGGAAGCTGAAAAGGTAAGCTCTGAAAATTTATTCTCAGATACAGCCCCAGCTCTGTGGTAATTCTACAAGCATTGCCAAAACTTGAAAGGATTACCTTCTTTCCAGCATGTGGCATATCTGCATCATATCATGGAACACAGCGCATCAAACAGCACCACTAGCTTTTCAGTGGGGGTAGTACCGCACTGCACTGCTGCGCAAGGGGTGAAAGCTGCGCACCTGCACAGGCACAGCACTGCGCTTCAGTTACTTGCCATTAAGATTTACCGGTTCAGAAATCATGCTGGGCTGACACAGCTTTATTTCCCTTTTTCCCCAGGATTGGTTGTACTGAGCCAACCTAGGGGACAATGCATTGTGTACAATAACATTTTTTTCCTCAGTGAATGCTGGTGCCTCTGCACTCAAAAGATGAGATACTCCAGTCTGGCCAAACTATATTCACCGGGAAAAAAGGTAGGGATACTGGAAGATGGATCTAATTTTCCCCTCAATTATTTACCTAATTTGGGGGTTGGTCAAGTTTAAATTTAAAGCATCTCTTAGACTAATCTACATTCAACCACAAGAATATTCAAAAAATACCAGCTGAAATTTACTACAGCATCAAATGTTCTGACCACTCCCAGTCCCATCAGGAATGAGGGGAAGAGTGTATGGGGCTGCACTGGGATCCTTAGGAATCTTCCACTCTCTCACTCCTCATTAGCTGAGCAGCTCACAGCAGCCTCCAATATTCATGTGATTCCTCTAGCCTACACAACTTCCTGTACGAGTCCACTACAGCACCCAGCTAGAGAAGTCCTATTTCTTTTCAGGGACTAACAAACTCAAAAAGGAAAAAAAAACAACCCAAATCAACACATTTTTCTCTTACTGTTGTCTTTGTGGTCTTTCATGCCAGACCATATTTTCAATCACTTTGATTCAACTGCTGAAAAAAAATCCCCACATTCCCTAGAATCCCCTACGCTTAAGACATACACTTCTGCATATAAACCCATGCATATGCATAAGTACTTTCCCAATATTACACAGTTTAATAATCACCATAACATAAATCTGTCTGGTTATGTCAGTGTGTTTGTTCACAGCCATTTCTGACAGGATAACCCACTTGGATTAATTATTTTGAACAAGGGTACGGTATGGCATAGAAGACTGACATTTGTCACTTTTATGACATATGGTTTTATGCTTGCAATGACCAGGGAGGTGAACTAGTTCTGATAAAACTAAAACAGACCCCACAACAATAACAAAAGGCCAAAACCTCGCAGCCTGAGCAACAGATTTTGGTACGACTTTTCCTAAATTATGGTTCAATGCTACAGTTCCTGGAAAAGATGAGATCTGAATAATCATTCTTCTATTTCATGGGTAAGGGAATCTTCCTTGAAACTTCTACAGTATTCAGTAAGATAAGTTCTTCCCCTTTACAGAGAGAAAACATGTTTCTATTGCAGTCAACCTGTCAATAATAAATTTGGTGGTTTCATCTGGCACATACAGAAACATTATTTACAATCAAATTTTCTTGGAATGGCGATGATAAACTGCAATGAACTTGCTTGTTCTTTGAAAGAGGTAAAATGAGACAAAACAATTAGTATTTCAATGCCATTTTAGTTAAAACTGTGTGCTGTACTGCAGCCTGGCCGTATGATGGAAGGAAAGAGAGGCTGGTCAAATGCTTTTTAATTAATTAAAATGCAATAGCAATATCCAAGTGCACAGCTGTTTTATTCTTGCAAAATTCAAGGATTTTTGTAACTGGACAGATAAGAGATGACTGAATACTCTAGGAATTGGTTAACTTAAAAAAAATCACAGCCACCAGTCCCTGTGTAACAAACTAATCGGATAAAAGGGATTTAAAAACTGACATGACCTTTTCTGACTACCTTATATATACAGACCCTCCTACAACTTTGTAAGAAATGCAGCTAAGTTGGTATTTGGAGGGCTTGCAGTCTGATCATGATCTTCAATGGCAAAAATTATCAGATCCTGACTGTCCATTTTTTTAACAGAAGGAAAATAAACCTAAACACTTTCAGCACCTTTAACTACTGAAGTGAGTGCAGTTAAAATGGAAAGGTAAATATAAGTATTTTGAGAATACAAAAAAGAAAAATCTTTTTCTAGCAAAATTTAAACTGACCTGAAACAAAGAAAAATGTAACTTAAGATACTAGAATTGTTGATCTACTTTGTTAAACTGATAAATTGCTTGCTAAGACGACTTACCTTGTATCTACGTTCCTAAAGAAACTGCTTAATGCTTCATCATAAATTCCCTTCTAAAAGGAAACAACATAAGATGATGTGTAATGTCAGAAATTCTCATTGCTTTTTCATAGAATAATTTAAATTGGAAGTGACCTCTGAAGGTCACCTGTCAACCCCCCCCCCCTCACTCAAAACAGTGAATGCCTATGTTGAATCTAAGTGGCTCAAGTCACCACCAAAAAGAACATTTCAGTGAAGCATCAGCTTCATATTAAAAACTGACAGGAGGATGCAACTAGGAAATTAATTTTTCAGCACAAGATTAAACACCCCTCTTCCTTAATTTCTAAAGATTTAGGATTTTACTGAAGATCCCAATGCAACTATTAAATTGAATAGCTGTTGTTTAGCTCACTGGAGTTTATCAGTGCTACAGTATTCAGTTCATCAGGTCCATGTTACTGATGTCGATGTTCTATGGAATGGAAAGTACATCACACCGTTATCAGTCATTCCTGAACTCCCTGCTGAGGGGTGGTGTGGAAACTGCTTTACCCCACCATAAAGCTAAGGAGACCCGGCAAATTCAAACATTTGAACATCATTGTTTTACTGACTACTTACTATACTCCTAAACACCTGATGAAGCAGAATTTGGAAGTCACTGTTCCCTAGAACACTAAAACCAAGAGGGTTTTTTAAAATTTTTTTACATTTTTTTAATTTTATTTTTCCATATGCTTCTGAACTTCATCAATTGCCTTTTTTACAGCTGCTTCAACAGAAGGCATTGAGGACTGATCACCATTATCTGTTAATAGACGGTGTTTGCCAGGAAATAGTATCTTTACAGTCGTGGCATTTTTGTTCAGGGTACTCAGCACAACCCTGCGCTCTTTACGCTGCTGTTTGGGTCAGCACTACCGTACAGTCACTGCACAGCCTGTGCTAAGAGGGAAAACAAAGGTGGGCTTCGGTGGGCTGCCTGCTTCTTCGCTTCACTGCCAGCGGCAAAGATCCCGCACTGAACCACCCTCTTTTCACTGGCTGCCGCAAACCTGGTAAGGCCTGCCTGTAGGGAGAGGGGCTCTGCGAAGCGGAAAGGCTAGAGAAAGCCGATGTGAACTAGCGAAGATTAGTTAAGCGGCAGAAAAACCCGGAGATGATTTTGCTCACAACGAAGCGGCCTTTGCTTAATGAAATAAACACGGTGCTTTTGCAGTCACAGTAACAAACACGGAGCGAAGAGGGGAGCACCGTGGCCCCGCCACGGCGAGCGCGGAAGGTGGCTCGCCCCAAGCCGCCCCGCTCGGGCCAGCGGCGGCCGGGGGCGAGGGGAGGCGGCGCCGTTACCTTGTTGACAGCGGCGTGCTCCCGCAGCGCCAGGTCCCAGAAGCGGCAGCCCACCTGGTTCCCGCACTGGCCCACTGCGAAGGGGAGAGACACGCGTCAGGCACGGGGACTGTCTCTTATACA